AGAGCCCAAAACTACTTTCCAAAAAGTTGAAGAGGAATGCAAGCAATAAAAATGCAGAATGTGAAGCTAATGCATGTGAGAATGGGAAGGCAAGCCTTCTGGAAGATAAGGAGCTTTGTCTTCATGCTGCTGCCTCAAAGGGACCTACAAGAGATAAACAGGTGCAGGACAACCAGAGGAGGCTGGCGGCTCTGGAGGAGAGGCACAGGGAGAGAGAACTGCAGAAGAAACTCATCCAAGGAGCTCTTTCAAACCTGGTAATTACACTCAGAACCTCTATCTGAATAGTCCACAGTACAAGGGAAAGGGTAAATAAGATGTGTGGATTAAGATTTTTAAAGATGGCATTCTGGATTTTCTGATGCACTGCCAGTTTGGAGCGTACACAAAGTGGTGCATGCCTAATCCCTGGAATGCCTCTAGAGTTGCAAGAGGAATAGCAGGTGTCATGGAAATGCCTTTTAGATACTTCTGTATGACTGCAGCAAGTATTTGCTATGTTTGACTTGCCATTTCACCCTTTCCTAGGATAGCCAGGCAGCAGGGAAGCACAAACACATCGTATTCGATTCAGATGTGGAAAATGAGGCTGAAGTGGGTGAGACGTTGAAAAAAGATGGAAGTTTGGGAAATATGCATGGAGAAGTAAGTGTTATTAGGAAAAAGACCTGTATGACTATGCCTTTTATTCTGAAGACTGTATTTTATCATAGTGAAGTGTCAGAAAAAAGTAGGTAAGCTTTGAATTAACATGAATGATTCCTCTTTTTGTAACATCAGACAGGTTTGAAAGAATTTAACTGTCTATCTGATAAAGCTTGAGAGCTTGGAGAATTTGTAAGGAGATTGAGATTTGTATAAAAGATATTCTAACTTCAGAAGAAAAAGAATGTTTGTGTAATTAGTTTTGAAATTCCTCTGCTTTTAGTCAAAGGAAGGTGAAGAGTTTTGGCTTGAGCAGAATGGAACTACTCTGCTCTTTCCAGCACTGGACAAACAATCTGATGCAGTATCTTGTTTTTAAAGTGATGTTGAGCTCCAAAGAAGCTGTGTGCTGCTGCTTCTTTACTCTGATTTAGCAGATTCTTCAGGGTTTTACTCCCATGGTTTCAGTACAATTAAATACTTTTGTTTTTTCTGGAATAGAACTTCTTGTATATCACATTTTTTAGTCACATCTCTACTAAAGCTTTAAACCACTGGGTTTGCTTTTGTTGGGTTTTTTCCTCATAAAGGTAGTAAGATTGGGGCCATTCTCATGATTTAATTAGCCATTGATATTTTTAAATTGATCTCCCTTGACATAATCAGGGAGATTTTTATACTTAAGTATCTCATATTGTAAAACCTGAGTTACCCTTTAGATGGGAATTCTGCCTGTGGTAAAACTTCACAGTCATGATTATAAACCAGAATTCACAAGGTGTGTATACAGGATAAGATCTGAAGCACGTGGATCAGTGAGTTGGTTGTGCAGGAAATCCACTTTTTCAGGTAGACTGGAAAGCACACAAACAAAGTTGGTACTGATTTATACCCTCAGACCTACGTGAACAGCTCATTTTCTGGTTTTTTTTTTTTTTCTTTTTGTTTAACAAAGGATAAATCTGCTCCCAAAGCTTCAGGCAAACTGTTTGACAGCAGTGAGGACGAGCAGGACGACACGGACGATGAGCGATTCAAAATTAAGCCCCAGTTTGAAGGCAAGGCTGGGGAAAAAGTGAGTGAACCCATTGCTGGAACTGAGTTCTCCTTCTTCTAAGTCTCTGTAAGGCCACTTCAGAAGAACATAACTTGTAGGCTTGTGTTACTGCTGAATATGATTGTTATGAACATAAAATAGAGTTCCCTTAAATAGGGGAAGGAGCAGCCACGGAGGAAATAACGTGTGGTGCCGTCTTTGTATGCAAAGAAATTTCTGGAAAAGGCCTCAGGAGCTGAAGGTTATTAGTATGTTACCATTAATTATAGTAAAAAAAAAAAAGTTATAGAATGTTGCTGATTTCCTGCTCCAGTGCTTAAGAGCATCTGCTTCTCTTGTTTAGCTCCTGAAGCTGCAATCCCGATTTGGCACCGACGAAAGATTCCGCATGGACGCTCGGTTCCTGGAGAGTGACAGTGAGGAGGAGGAAGGTAAACCTGGCCATATTTCCTGGGGGTAGTGGAACCATGTCATGGAGCTTCAATTTTTGAAGCAGCTCCTGGAGTGCTTTTGCTTCTTTGGTGATTCTTTAAAGAACACAGCCCAACTCTGCTGTGACTGTGCACAGTAAATGCTGGTGGCTGGGTCTTTTAAAGGACTGTGTTGCAAAAGTATTTGTAACAGCTGAGGGGTGTGTGGCTGATAAATCAACTTTTGAAAACAGCTTTTAGTGCAGCATTATACAGATTGTGTTTATCCACATGGAAAAACAGTGGTGACTTAGTAAATTCACCTTTTTGACCATTACATTCATTTAAGCTGTTTTGTAGCCATCCTGCAGTC